TGCAAGCAAAGAAATGTTGGGGAGTGACTTGTGACCTTCCCTGCTGGCTTTCCGATTGATTTTTTCCCCAGCAGAGAAGGTTGGCAACAGCGATCACCCAATTGCGGGATGCTGCAATGACTGGGACCCTGAGAATTGGTCATAAACTCCTTTGTTCAGAACCATCATACCTTCAACAGTCACTGAACAAATGGTTGGAACTCAAGGAGTACATGTATTGTCTTCATTTTTATAAAATGTTTTGTTTTTAATATTAGCCCTTTTTAAACATTGTGAGCAATCATAAGAAGCTTTTGATGAGAAAAATAAATGTTTCCAGATGACCCCAAATTTTACTTACATGAAACTCAGAAATCATGTAAAACTACGTTTTGCTTAAGGTAAGAATGAATGTTTGTCATTTTAAAAGATCTTCAATTAGTAGCCAAGCGTATAAAAATTTGAATGACCTGAAAGAATTTCCTACTTCTGCCCTGAACAGAATTCAAATTATTAGCTTTGCTATTTCCATTTTTGTATACAGGTTATGAATGTACAATACAATATAATACAATAGCAGAGTTGGAAGGGACCTTGGAGGTCTTCTAGTCCAACCCCCTGCCTAGGCAGGAAACCCTATACCGTTTCAGACAAATAGCTACCCAACATCTTCTTAAAGACTTCCAGTGTTGGGGCATTCACAACTTCTGGAGGCAAACTGTTCCACTGATTAATTGTTCTAACTGTCAGGAAATTTCTACTCAGTTCTAAGTTGCTTCTCTCCTTGATTAGTTTCCACCCATTGCTTCTTGTTCTGACCTCAGGTGCTTTGGAGAATAGTTTGACTCCCTCTTCTTTGTGGCAGCCCCTGAGATATTGGAACACTGCTATCATGTCTCCCCTGGCCCTTCTTTTCATTAAACTAGACATACCCAGTTCCTGCAACCGTTCCTAGTATGTTTTAGCCTCTAGCCCCCTAATCATCTTTGTTGCTCTTCTCTGCACTGATGTAGAGTCTCCACATCTTTTCTACATTGTGGCGACCAAAACTGAATGCAGTATTCCAAGTGTGGTCTTACCAAGGCATTATAAAGTGGTATTAACACTTCAAGTGATGTACAAATAATGCAAATAGATACACAAGCATCAGAACCATATTAAATGTAATGCTAAGAAAATGTATGGAATCCAGACTTTTCTGTATGTGCCATCTAGACCTGATTAAAACAAGATAATTCAGTTAAAAGTTGGCAATTCACATATGTACTGTATGTCTATACAGTAGCTCCTGTTCAATTCTAAAAATTGTTTGGGAGCACAAATATGTCCCTTGTTTACAACTCTTTAACATAATTACATCTTCTCATGGTACCAGGTAAGAGCTTCAGAAGGCAGTTGTGCAATCCCAGGAAAACTCATAGTTGCTTTAAAAAGTTGCAGGAGATGCTATTTCTATGCTACTGCACATTCCAAAACACCTATCTGAATAGAATCCAAAGTGTGGCAGTGTCTTAATATGCAGTGGCTCGCTAATTCATCAAAATGCAACTTCACTGCATTTGATTGCACATAAAAACAGTCCATAATCTAATTATAATTGTTTATCAGACATCAGATAACTATTACAAACATCTATTTGAATAGATATACACACATACGTTGATCACCATCAGCAACAACATACACAGTGTGGCTACTACATGAACGATCCATGTTTTCCATACAGTTTTAATATAGGAAGGTTCCCAGTCTGCAAATTATGCTGCTATTATGTATCATGTGAAAAGAGTGTGAAAAGAAGGTTCAGTTATCTATACACATTAAGCAAAGCCATGGCATGTTTAAATCATCTTTATTGAGCAACATTCACACATTTTAACAAGCCATAATATGGGGCATTTATATCTGTTAATCTGTCATTTTACAAGGCTTAATGCTAGAACAATGAAAAACACACTTCATGTAGCGTATTAGTGTGAACAAAACACTTCTCAAACCCCTGAGGCAGCTGCATCTTCTGAAGGCCAACCTAGCCATTTTAAGCACTTTCCCGGGTTTTCCATGTACATTCGGCTCAGTCTGTCATCTAAACAAAACAGCTGAATGCAGAGAAGACACAAAGAACAACCTAAGCCTCAATTCTTCAAGGAGAACTTCACTTGTACAAAATATACTTTGTTCAGCGTGTCTTTGGATGCTTTACACAGCTCTAATTCAATCTTCCCACTTGGATTATTTTGAATTCCACGCCTTCAATTTATCATTTTCCTCTAGTTTCAAAGTTTCCACTTGATCCTGAAATATGTCTTGTCAATGGAAAGGACATGACCACTCTTTTTTATTAGGGAGACTGATCTTATAAGCAATCTGTCTTTAACAGAATATATGAAGATGCTCATACTGTAATAGTACCAAAAAATTTTTTGTTTAATTTTGATTTTTAAATATTTTGTTAAATTTATTTGAGATCCATCTTGCCATGGGGATACTCTGGGCATCTTACAACAGTAAAATGAGGGGAAATGATTTTTAAAAATCAAATGTTAAGTAGGAATGGATTAAGTGCAAATACAATATAACCCATGGAAAGATGCTACCGGTTCTATACATGTGTGCTTAAATCCACCATTGTACTCCATTTATATTAGCTATACTGTAAAAGAGTGAGGGGAAGTTCTACCTTTCTACTTTCTATGTTCAGCTATAGTATGAATGAAAGAATATTCAGGTCCTTTATTCATTGTGGGAATACCACATTTGAAAACTCACAATCAATTCTTCACAATTAGTCAGATTCCTTACTGGCTTGCAAAACTAGATAAAAGGTAACTCTTAGCTACTGAAAACATGAATGCTAATATTTGCAGCCTTCTACAAAATACACGCCTACAATTTAAGACCTGAGTTAGACATTTATGATATGAAGACATTTAAATTTTTTGCTTTGTCCAAAATGTTTACAAAAAACAATTGTGAGTGAGTGAGTGTGTGTGTGTGTGTGTGTGTGTGTGTGTATAGGCATATACATTAAACAGCTTTTTGTAAACATTTTTCACAAGGCAAAAAGATCCATCTGCAATAAAATTTAAATGTCTTCATTTTGTATTCTTCAAACTTTCTATGGTCTTTTACTTTTAAATTAAATCTTCTTAGACTGGATTATCACAATCTCCTGATTATGTTAAGACTCCTCTCTCCCTTGATCTTTCAGGGAAATATGGAAATCCTAATACCCCATGGGAGGTTTGTAGAAGTTCTTATGAGACAAGGCAATTCAACAAAATACATTCATTGATCCACTTACATTAATGTTCCTGTAAAAGACATATATGCTGCTTGCTATACTTTTATGTAACAGCAGAGTTCAAATTGATAAGAATTGGATAAATGGATTCCACCAAATATGCACTATATAGGTAAAATTTCATTTGGGAAAGGTTCCAGATAGAAACATGTTTTACTGAATTGTGGATATCAGACTGCAATGCTTGATTTTGATTTGCTAGCTATACCTTAATATGCATGCAATTATGCATGCCACCAATGTAGATATTTGATTTTTAATAAATTGAAGTTTTCAAGAAGCAATATTAAACAATGTTGCTATAAAAGTAGTTCAATAAGTCCAGACAAACAATCTACAACTCAGTACTCTGGGTGAAAAAAATATTACTAGATACAGGTTTAAAAAGTATACATTTATATCCTATTTTTCACATTATAATATACCTAAATGCATGCCCACAATCTATTTAGAGAAATAAAATGCAATTATGCCATTTGAATAATCTGTGTTGAAGAATCAATCCCAGGCAGTTTATACAAGATTCTTGAAAGCAAAACACAAACTGAATAAACGAAAGGCTGTTACAGAAAGCTTTTTGAAGTTGCTAATTGCCTGAAAGAGCTTATGGATTTTCTCAAGATTTTCTCTGATTTTGTAATCTCAAACAAAGCACATCAAAAATCCCATCCTGTCTTTACAATAGTAAATTGTACATTTTCTACAAAATATAAAAATTGTGATTTGAAAATGGCTCTTAAAATCAGCACCACCCCACCATTTCCTGCTTTTCACTCCTACTCAAGAGGAGAAATAACATGGTAGGCTAAGAACAAAGAATTATTTTTTTTAAAAAAACAAAGGTTCCAGGGTCAGAATACCTGAGAATCCTTGGTAAATTCTGCGTCAGAGCTGGCACACCAGTGGATATAGAAAAGTGCACAAGCAGCAAAACGGAAAGAGACACTAAAATCGCTGAATTAATGACCACCGCCCCGCCAACGAAGCCAAATACAAATAGCAGCATGCATCCAGGACTCATGGCGCTGCGCTGGCATGGTGAAATGCAAGAACCGAGGCTACGCAGGGGACAAGAGAGTATCTTTGTAGTAAAAGTCTGTCATTGAGCTGCTGCCACAGAAACAATGCCATCAACAGCCGCTTTCCACTATCTTCTGCAGCAGCTCCAAAGCAAAATGACATCACCTCGCTCTCCTCCCCCACTTAGAAAGAAAAAAGCAATCCGAGCGGCTTCTCTTTCCTTCAGCATCTATGCAGCAACCTAAGGATACAAGCAAGCTCGTTGGCAGTTTCCTCCACCCATTACGCTGAACCTTTGCAGCTTGGCTCCACTTGATTGGACAGGAAACTCAGGCGTCTCCATAATGTAGACAAAGCTTTAGTTGGAGATGTCCTTTCATGAAATGTGCACAATAGTATAAAAATGGAAATGAGATTCAGTTATTTCACACCCTTAATTGCATATCCTTTGGTTGTTCTTCATCTCCGTTGGAGAAGGGAAAGAAAAATCCTGCTACACAAAATGAGTTTTAATCCTAAAAAGTGTCAGCAAGGCAATCCCATTAGAATATGTTCATTCCTCCTGCAAAACTTCTACAGTCTTTCTGATATTCCAGCAAAAATATAAGTGTGATTATTCATTATTCAAGATCAAAAATACAAAGGTTTGAAACCAAACTGAATAGGTTTTACTCAGGCAAAAATCAATGAAGCTTACCTAATTCTACTGTGCGTGATGGGCTCTGGCTGTTCACCTCCTGTCAACTGATGAAATTTTGCTCTTTCCAAGTGTTCCATGTAATTATGAATCATCTGTTGTTAAAAGGGGGGAGTAAAAGAGTTTAAACTGTTTCATACCTATTTAAGCTATTTTTTTTAATTATTTCCTTTCAGTTCCCCAGTATTCCCCCTATCAAGAAACTACTATCAGAGGTATGTTTTATGGACTTCAGACTATATAAATCATCCCATGCATCAAAAACTGTGTTCATAATACGTTAATTGTTCCAAAGTTATTTTACCCTTCCAATATACAACTTTATCTTAATTTACATTAATACAAGCGGTCCTTTTTTTAAAAACACCTCCACATTCTTATATAATTATACCATTTCAGCAACATGAGACAAATATACACTGTCACCCAAGTGCAAACCAAGAGAACCAGTAGAAGCCCCATCCGTGATCAAGTGGAAAAGATACCTTGATAAACTGAGAAAACTTCACATATTTGTTTGGGAAAAGATGGGTGGTTGGAGAAGGTTACACTGGTGCCCAGTTCTGATGCAATGGGAAACCATGATTCCTCATTATGTGAAAGGGTTGTGGAAGATTCTGTGAGGAAATAAGAAGTTTTCGCATCTTCTTTTAACTACAGAAGAATTACCTGCAAATAACTAAATTTGGGGGAACTGAAAACAAGTCTCAACAAAGAAAGGTTTCAGATCCAACTTTTTCAGAAACCATCATTAAACCAGTAACTTGACTTCTAAACACAAGAGGAGCTATGCTTCCAACTCCCTTTATTATGAGAAGGGGAATGGGATAGCAAAGTAGCTTCTGATTACATCTGAACTGAGCCAGAGAAGTTGACACTGGTTTTCATTTGGCACATTTAATATCCCACCCTTATTTTAAGTTTACAGTATATTTTTAAAGCGCACATGCTCAGAGCAATGTATCTGACATTATGAATTTTAGTATATTGTGTCAGCATGCCATTTATGCTACAATGAGGGACAGAAGGATATTGCTATCACACCCTGGTGGTTTTTCCATTGTTGAAAATGAGATGTTGGTCTTTCTTGGTCTGGACTAGGTGAAGATCTTGGTTCAATTATTCTGTAGACTACAGCTGACTAAGGCTTTATTGCATTGTATCTTATGGGGGGGGAATAAGGGGAAAGAATAAGACAGTTGCAGAATCCGTTCATAATGAGTTTAGTATATTAGTCATTAACATGAATCCGTCCGATTCTACTACTTGTGTCACAATAAAATGCTTCCAGATCAATTTCATATAAATGCATTTTCTAAGATTCCTACTGTAGAATTAGAATTAATTGGAAATAAGTCTAGAATTAAAAAGTGCATGCTTAAGCTCTTTAATATACCAACAATCAATTGAGATACTTTTTTATCTGAGTAAATTAAACACATATACCAAGGGTTTTACCAAGAGTTAAGACAGCCAGATCTAAATCAAAGCTTCTAACAAAGGCTTTTTAATATCAGATAAAATATCACATTTCTAAAATGTGTGGAAAAATATTCCCCATATCTTCAGCATCAAAGTAGGATCAGATGATGCACAGAAAAGGACTCATATGCATGCTTACATGATTTCATAAAGATGGATGGCTTATTAAACATTATTTCAACAACTGTAACATTAAAATAGAAATATTTTCATAGGTAATTAATAACTCCCTTCACAGATAAAATTACAGATACATGTAAATTATAATTAGTACAAATATCTCTTTTTGAGTTCGACTATCTATAGCTAAGCCTATCATCATTTCATACTGCATTGTGGTCATTTGATATATCAAAAACATCTTCATAAACATTTCAAATTAAGCAAAATAACATGAGAGGCCACATTAATTATGTGGAAGTGAAATAATTAAAAAATGCTACTGTATGCCATTAATTCAGAAAAAAATAGCATTATTTCTAATCTGTGATGTGTATTTTTGTAATTGGATAATATAAGACTTCTATATGGCTTTCAAATACTCAGAATAATATTGTGTTTCCCCTAAAATAAGACAGAGTCTTACTTTATTTTGACCCCCAAAATAAGCACAGATCTTATTATTTTGGAGATGTGGGAGGCAGCAAGTGTGGTCACCTCATGGCTGCTGCTGTGTTCCAATATTTTTGACTTTGACTTACTTTGACTTAAGTCTTTAGCGTCGGTACGGCATCGCCAATCCCTTCGCTGTAGAGTCGCATGCATCCCGAATCAACGGGATCCATGATTCTAGGCTGAGTACTACTTGAGCTCGCCGGGCCCAAGAGTATTTATTTTAATATAAAGAATATTAAGAATATTAAGAAATATTAAGAATATTTTTGGGGAGGGCTTATTTTAGCACATGCGCTAAAAAGCCCGATTGGGCTTAGTATCTGCGGAGGGCTTATTTTCAGGGAAACAGGGTAATAATTTGCTTTTTTTAAATAAAAAAATAAAGAATGAAAATCAGGCATCATTGGTATTTTTACATTGTTGCTTATATAACCATAACATAAATTAAATGTTATGATCAAGAATTGAGTTTTTAAAAATATGCGTTCATTAATCCTGAGATTAATCCTGACTGACCAAGAACTGCCTTTATACTTTTCTTGGCAGTGTTTTCAGAAATAGTTTGCCATGGTCTGTTATTCTGTTATGCTCTTTTTCCTAGAGTGAGACTGACTGACCCAAAGTCACCCAGCTGGCTTTGTTTCTACAGGCAGAATTGGAATTCATGGTCTCCAGATTTCTATTCTAGCCAGCTGCCTTTATCCATTACAGCGCATTGTGTCAGCCTCCGCTTTGCTGCTGCTTCGGCTGCCATTGAAACAGGGAGGGGGGGCATGGTATTTGGGAGGGGACTCATTGTTGTGCTGGAGGAAGATTCTAGAGTTTGAACTGTCCACCTTACTGCGCATGTGGAGGAGGAGTGTTTCCCGCCAAGGCCAACGGAACCAGTGTTGCATCCTGGTGATGCCTTTCGAAGTTATCTCACACCTGACAATTGGGAGAATTATGAATGGACTGTGCACGGGATGCCAAGGGGAGGGGAATGAATTATACAATATATTATTCGCTTTCGCGCCTAAATAATCAGACTTCGCTTAGCTTCGCTTCTATTCATTTATAATTAGTAAAAGTACACTTGATTTCTATCAATGTGGTTTTCTTTCCTGATCTTTGAATGAAGAAGGGCTGACACACTGTCTCTTTTTATAGGCATAGAGAAGTACATATATGAAAGATTTGAGACTTTCCCTTGGCAAAGGGAGACATTAATTGCTGCCTGTTAACATTTCTTGGTAATGATCGGGTTTAATCATTGCTTTGCTTTCTATTCATGCTTTCCATTACCAAATTGGCACTCAAGGTGGCTTCATCAATCAGTACATTAAGAAAGATTCTGAGGGTTCTAAGAGGTACTTTTGGTTAAGTTACGGTACATTGAAATTGTTGCCGTTTCTTCTTAAGTATGTTTTACAGCACTTAATATTCTCCATCATGTTTGAGAATACTTCTGTTTACCAGGCACCAAAAATACTTCAGCTACAGATGAGCCACAAGAAAATACAGTACTGTATTTTAATATATAGGTTTTTTTTTATCCAGGCAGATCCAGCTGCCTCAGATAAAGCAACCTATATATTAGGATTAAAATCTCTGAATATCTAAAAGTAATGTCATAAATCCTAAATGACCACTATCTTTAATCTTCACAAATTGACTCTTCTAGCATACAGTGACACACTACTGAAAATCTTTTTATTTGATACATCTATGTTAAGTTGTTCAACTTGCTGATGAATATAGGCAAGTTTTAACTAAAATATTTAGTATTGTACAACTATGTTACAATGTTTTTTGTGTGGTCCATAATCTATTTGATACTTTGAAGAGAAACATGTTTTCAATCAAGTATGGGTAGTTCATTTAGCGACAGATTGAAGTTACAACAGCACTAAAAAAAGTGACTTGGGACCGTTTTTCATACTTACAATAGTGAAGCATCCTTGTGATCTCGGGATCAAAATTCAGATACTTGGCAACTGAGTCATATTTAGGATGGTTGCAGTGTCCAAGGGTCATGTTGACCTTATGACAAGCAAAATCAATGGGGATGCCAGATTCACTTAACAACTGTGTCACTAACTAAACAACTGCAGTGATTCACTTAATAACTGTGGCAAGGCAGGTCGTAAAATGAGGCAAAACTAATTTAACAAATGTTTCACTTAGCAAGAGGAAATTTTAGGCTCAATTGTAGTCGTAAGTCGAGGACTATCTGTAGCTTGTTTCAGTATTATCAAACAATGTAATGGATTTAATTAAGTTAACAGATATTTATGGTTAAGCAGCAGTAATGTATAACATATGTAATTTTAATTTCTTCTTTGTATATATCCCCAAGTATTATGATATAATAAATATCATATATTCTACAGAAAATGTCCACTCATAGAAGTCAAACTATTTTCTAATTTATTAAATCATATATTGAGGGTGGTCTTTATTAAATGCTTACTTCCCAGACAAAGTGGGAGGCATTTTATCATTATAATCAGATCTTTCCCATGCCAGAGCTATTACACCTATAAGAAAAAATAGGCATTTTTATAAGAACTAATATGATTACTAATATCAGTTCCTTTCAAATAAGTTTGTGTAATAATTTTGAATGCAATTGTTATTTCTCAGCAAATAACATGCTTCCTAAACTAAGTTGAAGAATATCTGGTGGGCTAGACATAGCTACAATTCTTTTGTAAATGAGGGATTGTGATATGAACAGAATCCAAACCCATTCAGAGAACAATAAACATAACATTAAATTCTTGATTGAGATTTACAACACACATATATAGTAGTTAATTGGTACATAACAGTTAATTGGTAACACACTAAGTCTCTAAGGGAAAATAGAAATAACTTAATGTTCGTGAACTATCAATACCATTAAATGAGCAAAAGACATATCAAGGTATGCCATATGTTAACCAACAATACTCTAGACCAGGGGTGTCAAAGTCAAGGCCCGCAGATTGGATTCAGCCCTGTGGGTGCTTAGATCTGACCTTTTTGGCTGCCCTGGAAAAGCAAAGGACCGGGCTGCAATGCTTCTGCCAGCAAAAACTACCTCTATTTTTGGCTACAAGGGCCTCTTGCAGCCCTCTGTCAGCAAAAACGGAGCTTAGACTCCCGAGCTCTGCTTTCACTGGTGGAACACTCGGGCCACCACAGGGATCCCCAACATGAGTAATGTCCAGCTGCCTGCCCTGGCCATACCCACCCAGCTACCCAAGGTCAAACACAACCCTGATACAGCCCTCAATGAAATCAATTTTGACCCCCCTGCTGTAGACGATAAATGCAGACTACTGCAGAGAAAAAAAGATGAAATTATTTCTTATTATTCAAGATTTGATGAGGGCAGAACACAGGAATCAAATGCACAAGAAAGGCTTAATACTGCACCTTACAGATTTCTTCTCTGTTTATATTGTCTGTTTATATTGTCTGTGACTGTGGCCTATTAATTCATATATATATTTCATTTGATAATAATGACTGATATCATATGTGAAATTTCTCCCACTACTTTGCCATAGTTATATTTTTTAGCTTGTAACCTTTAAATATGTTCTCTATCTCAGTTTTATCAATGTGTAACATTCATTGCCAGCGATGTATAGAAGTATTAAACTGACCCACTTTGAGAGGTAAATATTGCTTGAAAAGCAAGAATACAAATTCCCACATACTATCTGTGAGATTCAAAAAGTGATCAGAATCCACCCCCCTCAAAATCATTACATAAAGTAAAAGACCTATATAGCTTTATTTCAATCTTTAACTTAATATTGTTCTTTGCATACTTTATATTTCTTTTCTTTTATCCATCTCAATTATTCTACAGTTTGACAATAATATACATAAACATCCAAAGGAAAAACCCCAATTGCACTGGCCACAATTATCATCAGTAGTACTTCACAGTAATTTTTGCATCAAGACATTATTCACTACTTGACAAATATAATCTGGGTATGTGTAGTCCTTGGCTTAAGACCATAATTGGGATTGGAACCTCCATCTCTAAGAGAGGCAGTGATTGGACCTGATTTTATGATTTTTTTGCTGCAGTCATTAAGTGAATCGCACAGTTGTTTAAGGGTTCCCACATTGAATTTGTTTGTTGGAAGCTCCCTGGGAAGGCTACAAATGGCAGTCACATATACAACCACAATAAATACATGCTGATTGACAATAACCCTAATTTTGATCATGTGGGGACACTGAAAGGAGCAGTCGTAAGTCAGGTTTTCACACTGCAATAAACAATCGCTAAACAAATGGTCATAAGTCAAGGATTTCATAATGAAAAAACGCTGCTAACCTTTTATTTAGACTATACTTTGGTTGGGCATTAGACAGATTACATTCAATGATGTTGCCTTAAAGAGCATGCATATCTAATACTTTTACCACAAGAAAATATGAAAAGAAAAAGCTTTACAAAAATATACAAACATCTGAGCAGCTTGTTAGTGAAACAGAGGATGAGCTTCCAAAGTTCATGGGATCATCATTTCTATCATCCAGAGTTGTTTCAGAGTCAGATGGCATACCAGATGATAAGGATGATCCCTATTTGTAATGGTCATTATAACTGAAAAGAGTCCAGTTCAACAGACTGTTCTTCTCAATACTTTTTTAGGCAATTAAAAATAAAATTCTTATCTGGACTGATCAGTTGGCAGTAAAGGAACTACCTACCTTTCTCAATCATCTGCCAATCTTTCCCATGAGTTCTCCCTTGCCATATTCAATCATGCCACTAACCATGTGTCTGAACTCAAACCATGTGTTGTCAATATGCCATCTGTGTCTACCCTGTCAGCAATATTCAAGACCCAGCAATGCCTTTCCAAAAGCAAAGAATCAAAGCCTTATGAGATTTTTCAGAAAATGCTGATGCAGATTAATATTCTTTGAATACTGCCTCTATGTAATTAGTGAACTCAGGGACTTGTTCTTAAAGTAATATCTGGTTACCTACCTCTGTATGCCTTGAATGAAGAGCATTGTATTCCTTCTTTAGTTCCGCTTCCCTCTCCTCCAATCTACTAACTGAAAAAGAAAATAATTCATTCAGTTTACTATTTTCAACAATAGAAACAAAAGATGTTTACCTCAACCTAGTTTTTACAAATCCAAGCTATCAATTCAAAAGCTATTTTTATCTATCTTCAGGAAAAAGAAATATTCTTGCTTGCTTGTTGCTCTTGACACAAACCGAGAAAGCCAAATTTTAGAAAAAATGTGTTCATGAAATTTTTATGCAATATAATAGAAATTATCCCGAAAAACAAGGATTTTGCGCACATCGCCCAGTACCACATTGTTACAAAATCCTAGAGTTACATTTGATCATTCCCCCACCATATTAGTTTAACATTAGAAGTATAAAAATGAGAAACCTAAAACAGCACTACAACAGAATCAAATTAACAAATTGGCAAAGTATTATTAGCCAGCTATGTATGTTTTTAACCATGGGGAAGTAGAAAACAATAAAACATATCATAATAAGTTTGCTCAGCAGTACATCATTAGTTATTGTTTTAAAGAAGAGCTTAGCAGCCTCTAAGCACATAGCAAATATTAAATTTATCTACTTTATACCACCCTGATTAACTACACAAGGGAAAGTAGAGAAGATATATAATCTCAATTTCCTCTAAACTGAGCTATTTGTCAATTATACTTCTGCTCCATCTAGTGGATTACTTTATTGCCATTATGGGAACATATGTGGTGTCAATTAAAGGTAGTACTTTGGATTCTTTTGCTTCCTGAACAAACAGGAACGTTCTCCAGATTTGGTGGTAGCAAATTCATATAGCAAAAGTTTTTTAACCACCCTATATTGCGGCCTAATGCTATCAGTTTTCTTTAAACATCTAAGAGCATAGTCCGTTAATGTTCTTTATCCACAGCTAAGTAATTGCAAACTGAAGGCACTATCTGACAACAGATGGTCAACATGAAAAAGTTATTCAAAGACATGGATAATGTTTGGTATTATTGTATGATCAACAAGGTCAAAATATAGCCTCCTCCATATGATGGAGGACATTTCTCATCAAGCTTATCAAGTTTACCAAATTATTATCCTGTAGTCCAATATATCTGGTATACACACTAGCCTGGGGAAGATTGATCTATAGTTTAAGTTATTTTTTTTAAAACCCTTTAATGGAAATACCTGGAACATATTTATACACACAGAGAGAAAGAGAGAGCAGAAGAATAATTCCAGAACATAGCATGATACATTATTTTTAACCATTGATCGAAAAGTCAGCAGACCATTATGGCTCAAGGATATTCCTGATACAAAGAGAACCATAGCCTAACATTATTCTGCTAATATATTTGAAGTTAATTGAGAAATTAGAAAACACTGAAGCTCAAACCTTAGGGCCTCTAGGGCCTAGAGGAAGCTGCCTCATTTGAAAAGATGATCAAGAACTGTCCTCAAGTTCAGAAAATGTTTTTCTCAGACTTGAAAAAAGGCAGTAGGGAAGAAACAAAATAGCAGCCCTACTATAGATGTCAAAACAAAAGCTGTCGAATAAGATACGAAGCTTCAAAATTGGCCCCTGTTGACATGGTAGAACTCATCAGACACCAAAGGGTATCAACAGCCTGTTTTAGCTGCCCCTAAACTGTACTTGCTAAGAGGTAAATGAAGAAAAGTGGAGCCATTGTTTGTTTCCATCTGGCAGAAAACTACATGGAGTCTCCGCATTGCTACCATTTAAACAAAAATTCTATACAAAGGCTCCTCTATCCAATTTAAAATGGAAGATGTTTCCATAATACTTACACAGACTTCTTTGGTCAAAATAATAAATCATTTTACCATTTAACCTACAGTATTCTTTGCCAGGTTAATAACTTAAAAGTTTTTCTTCTGAAATTCCTTAAAATATTTCATACTTTGCAGCATAACGTAGGCAGATATAACATGATTATACATAAAATGGCTTTTTTTCAAAGTATTTAATCCACTAATACTGAATTAAACCTTCAATGGAAAGTATCCCAGAACAGTTTATAAAGAACAGCAAGAGTACCTAGTCATATTTACATCCCTCCAACACATGCAGTAGACCACTCTTTGCAATCAAAAATGACCTATCAACAAATACTTATTGGCAATACAGCAAATGATGACTATATTTTTGCCTTTTCTGCAAGCTCTTTTAAACATGGCAGTTCCATTTATACTTGAACTAACTGGTCAACATTATTTACATTTCCCCCCCTTCCCCAATACCTCCCTTTTTGGAGAAAGCAATGGTTTGACCTCTGCAAAAAAAAATGAAATTAAAAAAAAAACACCTGCCCAACCGCTTTGGTAAAAACACAATGGAAGCAAAGCAGCCAGAGGATTAAAAAAAAATCGCTGCCCATACGCAAATTACATTCCACATTATAAAGTAACATCACTTAAAGCAAGGGATGAGTTGATTAACTCTGCTTTAGCTATGTTCTAATTTTTTTAAAGAATCAGGGCATCACCCTAAAGCACAATGCAATTTAGCATGTCATATGATGATGCCCAACATAAAGGCAAGAATACAGAAAATCAGCCTTGTTCCACTGAACGCACAGAAGATTGAACAGCTGCTCACACTTCACTTTGCTCTTCAGTTCTGCATAACTCCTCCTTAACAGCTGCTGCATCCATTTCTCCTACAAGACAATAGCTATGTAGGCACAGAATCATGAAAAGGCAATATTTTAGCAAATTCTACCTTTAAATGAACAAGTTATATCATTTTGCTCTCCTTCCTAAGATAAACAACTAACTTAGTTCAAAATGGTCCTTATCTTAGATAAGATTTCATACATACATATGTATGATTATATATGACCCATCATCTTAAATTTGTAAATTTGCTTTGTTTTTTCCCTTAAAAAAGAATGGTTATTTCTTTGTAATTATTGAATTATGTGCAATCAAATCAGTACTGAATTTCAATTGCCACATAGATAGATTTTCTCCAGGACAGTCTGTCCCCAGTTTGGTCCTTCTAGTCTTCCAAATGCACACCTGTCAATAGTGTAATCATGTCCATCCCCCTTGCTTCTGGCTGTCCTCTTTCTTTTTCCCCCTTCCCCCGAAATTTTCTCTATTGTTTGTCTATGCATTAATATTATAATATCTTCATTTTATTGTAATTTTTTTGACTATCATGAGCCATCCAGAGCCACTGAGAATTGGATGACAAGCATGTTTCATTTATTATGCTTAGATACATAGTTAGACAGAGGTTTAGACTGGATTTAGCATTTTTGTCCTCTCTTACCAAGGATTTAGGATAGTCAAATGTTTTCTTTAATATTAGTGGTATTGTCGCAGTATGTAAGCTGTTCCAAGTAATGCTGCCTTTGGCTGACAATTTTGTTAATGATGATGGTATTCAAGGGTGCTCCAGATGTTTTGGGATGGCACCCAAGGCACTTATTGCTACTTGTATTATCTGTTGCCACAGTCATTCTACTTCTTTTTCCAGCTCTTGTATTTTGTGGTTTTCTCTTTTCTCTTCTCTTCTGCTCTTTCCAGGGACTGCAAAGTCCACTATCTAGATTTTTTTATCTTTTCTATTGACAATTATTAAGTCTGAGGTATTATGAGGCAGGTGCTTGTCTATTTGAATTCTAAAATTACAGACCACTTCTTCATTTTTTATTAATTTGTCTATTTTGTAGACCACCAGTTCTTACTTGCAGGCCAGCACTATTTCTTGCAGACATTCCAATGCATTGTTGTTATTTTGTCATGCCTTTGTTTCTAATCAGCCTCTGCAAGCTTGCAGCAATTAGCTATGTATGATCCACTGTTTCTCCAGGTTTTTGGCAGAGGCTACATTTGTTGTCTATTGCTATCTTCTGAATTGTGGCTTTATATGTATTGCAATTAGACTTATATACCGCTTCATAGGCCTTTCAGGCCTCTCTAAGCGGTTTACAGAGAGTCAGCATATTGCCCCCAACAATCTGGGTCCTCATTTTACCCACCTCGGAAGGATGGAAGGCTGAGTCAACCCTGAGCCGGTGAGATTTGAACCGCTGACCTGCTGATCTAGCAGTAGCCTGCAGTGCTGCATTTAACCACTGCGCCACCTTGGCTCCTTTAATCCTTTAATCTTAAGGCTTGGTCATCTGCAGCCAGAATTAGTCCCTTTGTCTCCTTCTTCAACTTTCCTGCTTGTTGGAAGGAAAATCCATCTAATTTAATTCCAAGATGGGAGAAAGACGCTGGAAATAACATGGAGGCTGATTGGAAAGGAAGTCTCTGTTCATTGATGAGCAGAACTAACATGCACACAGCATGCGGTTCTGGGACAGCTGACAAATTGATTTGGTTTTACATGGGCTTTTATATAGGTTTTTTTTTACAGCATTTTGTAATCTGGAGGATTGCTTCGTGGTTTTTTATTATTTGATTAATTTTACTTGTTTTGTAAAGGCGCATGATGTGTCTTAATTATCACTTCCTTAATCCTAATCCTGCAGGCATGTGAATTTGATTTTATCCTGTTATCTATTGCCTCTAGCTAGACTGCCTATCTTTGTTATTGTTAGTTGTGAAGTTGTGTCCGACCCATCGCGATCCCATGGACAACGTTCCTCCATGCCTTCCTGTCCTCTACCATTCTCTGGAGTCCATTTAAGGTCATGCCTACTGCTTTGGTGACTCCACCCAACCGCCACATTCTCTGTCTTCCCCTTCTTCTTTTGCCCTCAATCATTCCCAACATTAGGCTCTTCTCCAGTGAGTCCTTCCTTCTCATTAGGTGGTCAAAGTATTTGATTGTCATCCTCAGGATCTGGCCTTCTAAAGAGCAGTCAGGGTTGATTTCCTCTAGAACTGACCGGTTTGATCGCCTTGCAGTCCAAGGGACTCGCAGGAGTCTTCTCCAGCACCATAGTTCAAAGGCCTCAAGTCTTAGGTATTGTTTCCACTTTTCTCAGTGAAAGGTGTTAAGATCATGTCCTGTCCTTAATCCCATCACCTGGAGGTGAAGGTGTCTTGTTTGTGAATAGGCACATTA